ACATTTTAAAAGTTTCACCGCAGGAGAACAGGAACAAAGAGATATTTCCTATAAGCTCTTGAATAATTTGCGTGGAAAATACTTTTTATTTAAATTTGCAAAGCAAAGAATACTACACTGAAATATAAACTCTACAGCTAGAAGAAAGTGACCTAAAGAGCGAAGAAAATATTGGCAGCCATATGATTACGCTGTTCGCAAAATACTGTGGACAAATCAGCACTCACGTGTCGAGCAAAATCGACTTTGTGCGAAGTGTCATTTTAAGTATAATTGGTACAATTTTGTCCTTGGTCAATTGCATTACCATTTAGAAATTTATTTGTAACATTACGTTATTTCTTTCAGTGCACGAAAGCTGTAATTACTGTACTATTGTTACTACAAAATGTGTACAATTGTACTATTTCGTTTCTTGTAAAATACTGTGGACAAATCAGCACTCATGTATCAAGCAGAAATGAAATTTTGCATTTAGCGGGAAAAAAAAGTGTCCTTGATTGTTCCATGAAGCGAAGTGTCATTTTAAGCATAACTGATATACTTTTATCTTTGGTCATTTTTTTTGACCATTTAAAAATTTATTTATAACAATGCTTTTTTTCTTCTTGTGCACAAAAACTGTCATTTATAGGTGCTGTAACTGTAATATGCATGGTAGAGTGAACGATTGGCCATTTTAAGTAAGCAATCACTACATAATATGAAATTATAATTATTTGAAAAGCCGGCCAGGTGGCAGAGCGGTTAGCGCGCCTGACTGCGAAGTCAATGACCGCGGGTTCGAATCCCGCTCTGAGCATGGATGTTTCTCTCTCTTGTGTTGTCCTCTGTTGTGTGTGATGAGTGAATGTGGCCCACCCTATGAACGGGATTGTGGCAGTGTGGCGTGGGCAATGTTCCTCGCCTCCGTGACTTTGGTTCACGGGTGCCCACTGGGTAACGCGAAATGAGTAACAACTCTGGCATCTTCTAAGGCGAAACAAATAAAGTTCAGTACCTGCCATTCGAAAAAAAAATATTTGAAAAGTTTAAATTTAAAGAATTATAATAATCTGAAGTATAATGCTTTGTAATAAAATTGTTCAAATTAAGAAATAATAACAACTAAAATAGAAGTTTTCCTTCTTTTATTAATCTGTTATATAAATGAAGACACATTGTTAAAGAAACATTTAAGATAAATGCTACTGTATGGTATACTTAAGAAAATGCATAACAGTATTCTCTACTTCTATTTCAACTTTCATACGATAATAAACTTCAACGCAAGATTACGGTCAGTGAAGGGTGAAAAGTATTTAGGTCATTGACAGTAAAATAAAAATATGCTCGTAAAGCAGTCATGGTCTGCCCGTAATTTTTTTTCTTTAAAAATGTATGACTGCTGCTTGTAATAGTTTTTTTCAGTTCGGGCTTTGTTTGATGGCTCAAACGATTTGCTTGTCAAATCAAAGAGAACCGTAGAACGAAGCAAAGTGCTGCCATCTATTGAAGAGCGAAGTCACACGGTCACGGGTTGTCACGCTCTGAATATACTTAAGAAATATTGATAAATGTTTTATAAACATTTTGTACATTTTGTAGGCTTTAATTTTACGTAAATTTTTAGGAATTCAATGCGTCTGTTGTAGCACAAATAATTAATTCATAAGTATTTTTTGTTCGATTGTAATTAGTTAAAACATTTTGTTTCCTTGATCTTTCTTTACTAGTTTTTAAATTTTTATAATATGTGTCCTCTCTGTGTCAGCAACGTGGAAGAAATGTGAAAGAATTTTTTTTTGCACTAACTGGATTCGAACTTGGGACATGAAATCGCATGTGGATGTTCAACCAACATGGAAAAAGCTCTCTGTTTGAAACCAAACTTAAGGAAAAAAAATTTTTTTAATTCGATGAAGTGTTAATTGAATTTTTGAGTATGAAATAATTTTAGTTGTGTATGAATTCGAATAATAAAAAGTGCTAATTTTATTAATTTATATTTTATTCTAATATTTTTTTTCCTAATAACTTAGCGTAAATAATAGTTTTGTTAAGACACAGGTAAATAAAAATTGGTAACTTATTATGAAAATCGCGCAATTATTTAACGAAACAATTTAAGCAGAAAATTAAGTTGGCTAAGTATAGAAAGGTCTTACTTAATTTTTAATGTTGCAAGATTATTCATAATNTTTTAGAGTAAGTGGCATATATATTTATATATATATATATATATATTAAAATATTTTATATTGCAGGTTGAGCGTACTCATAGTTCTTAAAGTATACAACAAGAATACCCATCAAAAATTAGGAAAAAAGAACATATGCTCATTGGGGACAAAAACTAATTTTAAATTTAAAAAATCCTTAAAAACGTTACTAATTATTAACGAAGAAAGCGTTAAAATATTAAAATCTGTTTAATTACTAGAAGAGTACGGATTTAATAAGTATTTAAGCCAGTACATTGACTTCAGTTTACTTGCGCCAGTATACTGTTTTATTAAATATACTTAAAAAACAGAAATATTGTTTTATTGAATACACATGAGCTAGTATACTGTATATACTTAATTTTACCGTCAATTCTAAGAATTAAGCTGAAATTCGCTGCAATTACGGGTATGAAACTTTTTTACTCAAAGAAGAAAACTGATAGTGTGGCCACCGGTTTACTCGACTAATATTGATGAAATTCATTACGATTGCTGACTCGAGTTTTTTTTCTTCTTGAAGGGAGCAGACCGTATAAATTAACGATAAACTCACCGAATTTTTCCGAAATTGAGTACAAAGAAATTGAGTTCAAAGTAATTTATATTAGAAAACTGAATCTGTGAAATCTCGTGGTAGCTTTCCTTTCATTAGATAAGACGCGTTGACCAGCTTTTTTAGATAGTCCAACCTGTTTATAGAGCCATTTTAGCAGCGTGTTCAGACGGTTTAGAGCAGTGCACACCAACCTTTTTTATCTCCGTGGAGAGACCAGCGTTTGATAACTTTATCGAGTCCCGCTGAGGATGTGGAGAGACGTTTATTGTTCATATTTTAGATAGTTTTGATTTGACAATTCTAATTTAATTGTACTTGAGCCTCGATGGCTAAAAGGATAGAGCGATCACCTTCCAATGACGTGAACTGAGTTCGAATCCCAGCGATCGCTGGCCGATACGAATTCCGCATCCGTCTTGCATACCAACCATAGTGCTGACGTGAAGTATCCTCAGTGGTAGACGGATCATTGGCTAGAGTACCCTTGCAGTCAGGCTAACCATGGGAGGTTCTCGTGATCTTCCTCTCAATGCAACACAAATGCGGGCAAGTTCCATCAAGAAGTAGTCCACGAAGTCAAATTTCTTCCAATACTTGATCCAGGCTTTCCTTTGTCTTTTGGATTGGGTTCAAAATTACAAGGCTACGTGGTTGAAAATTAGTTGTCGTAAGCACAAAATTGGGTCGGCTGTTCAACGACGGCTATAAAATAAAATAAAATTTCATTAAACTTAAAAATGTCTTCAAAATAAAATACAATTACATGCGCGGTATTAATGCGGCTTTAGATGGCGTCTCTCAGAAACCGGTTAACCTCTCGTCCATTGAAAGTCGTAAGAATCCGAGAAAAATACACCACAGTAAATAATTTCAATGTCTCTTGGGTGGCCCGGTACCATTTTATACATGAACCGGTCCATGGCCCGGATGTTGGAGACCACTGATTTAGGAAATGAATGGTTGCTTCTGAATCAGGGTTCCTGTATTGAAGTACCAATGATGGCTGCATCTGCATTTTCAACTATTTCTGTGGTACGCTTTCCATTTTTTTTTTGGTAAATAATGAACTGACAGTAAGAAATACTTGCACCTTGACTGGAAGTACATTATAGCGTAATTTTTCAATCATTCTATTTACAGTGAACTTTGTAAGCACAAAATAACGAAAATTGATTTAATATAATTGTTTTTGCAGTTTATTAAAACAAATCTGACTAACTTTAAATTCCCAAAACAAGATAATTCCTGGTTGTTTAACAAATTAGGGTAAGAAAAATGTACGCACGTTAAGTTTAAGAATAATGAATATTTTCAGTAAATTATGAAATAATATTGCTCTCAAAATATTAAACTTTGCTTTTCTCCATTATATTTCAATGATAATTAGACTTCCTAAATTTTTGACAAATCTTTTCTACATAAAAACTAAATGATCTATTTCTAAATGAACTGACATATTCAATAAGTATATGAAATATTATGTCACACGACAGCAGAAACTGCTCGTTACATTTGTGCTGTATATGAAGAAAATGCCATGGTTAAAAGAACCACACGTGATCATCATGGAAAAGGGAAATTTTAACTTCATACAGCCCTCCAGTTTGGTAAAGAGCGATTAGCGAACTTTGCTAGAAATATTACCATCAAATAGCGAGGTAATTAGTAGAGAAAAATAGAAAGCTTCCACACTTTAAAAAAAACAGATATTTACAATTTGATTTCTTAAGAACTATTCGACCGATTACGTTTAAATTTTATACTTTTCTAGATAAAGAAACATTCTTAAAAATTAATTAAAAATTTGCATATCTTTGTTGTTTTCATAAAATGTCATAAAATGTTTTCTGCTGTTACAAATGCATATTAAATATTACAATATTATAATAAATATTATAATAAATAATAAATAAAGTAATAAATGCAGATTGAAATATCTATTTTCTTGTATGGATTTATCGTTGGATAAGCGAATTTTATAATTATTCGCAAAAATATCTCAATTCGTTTAAGTTCTCGAGATAAGGCGAAGTATGCAAAAAGTAAAATTAATATTTTAGGATCCAAACTTTCTTTTGCTCTCCTGACCAAACTATTTTGACCATATTTTCTAGGCAGGCGTAAAATGTCCTCAGTGGTAGACGGATCATTGGTTTGAGCACCCTTGCTGTGGGCTTTCGCTCCATGTAACGCAAATGAGGGATAATTCCATCAAAAAGTCCTCCACGAAGGTAACTTTCTCCGTATACTTGGCCCAGGAGTTCCCTCGTCTTCTTGATTGGGTTCAAAATTACAAAGACTACGAAGCTTTACATTGGTAAACGTAAACTCAAAAATTGGGTAGGCGGAGATAGATTGTAGCCCCCACCCATATTTTGAGGGTCAGTATACCCTGGAGAAAACCCTATCTAATCTCAAATCACATTCCAAATGCAATTGAGCACAAACTTTACCTTTTCAGAATTACAAATTTTATTCTTTGACTATTCAGACTTTTGAAATTTCCCAAACATTTGACTTTTGAAAACTTTTTTCGTCTTTTCAGACCGCTGAAAAACTTATTAATTTTCTTCTTCACATTTTAGGTATGTTTCAAAATTTTTCAACATTGATCACTGAATTGATTTCTTATGCCATTGTCTTATACAATCGATGATATTCCCAACGCATTGTTCCTCCAATACCTAATGCTCTATTATTCTGTAAACTTCTCATTCGTTTTTTTTCTTCCAAATTTTCATTGTACTTTATATTTTGTAAGCCATTTATACTTGTTGTTGATGTAATTATTTGTGTTTTATGTATGTTTAATGTATGTTTTGTATGTAGAATGTATGTTCTACTCTCGTGTGCCCTTGAATAGGGCGGGTCGGGATACGAATAAACAATACCTTGGGGAAAAAAGGTTTATTCAAGGGATGTACGTTTTTGTGTCTGATTTCGTAACTTAAAATACTGTCTGTACTAACTGATTAGTATATTTGAGGTCACCTTTATGAACCATAAACATTGAGTCTAAGTGCGTAAAAATCAGATCATTAGATAAAAAGTTATGCAGGGTATTTCTTTCTTATTGCGCAATGGACATTTACAATTTTTATTAATCTAAATATCAATAATTATCTTGTTACTGGACTTTTATTTGCAAAAGTGCAAAACGCGTTAACACATTTAAATACCTTTGTCTAGCCAAAGGGGAGACAAAAATTAGAATATAAAATAATAAATTTAAAAAAAAAACGAATGAACAACTCAGCAGGAGGTAACCACAAATATACAAAAACAATGTAATAAATATGACGAAAAATATTTCAAAAAATATAGTATATGAATATTAAAAAAAATCATGAAGAGAACATAATATAGAATTTCATGCTGCGTAAAAGTTAATAAGAAAAAGGTTTAAAAAGTAAAAATAAATATTAAAAAAAAAAATAATCAAGAACATAATTATTTCCCTTTTAAATGAAGAAATGTTCGTTTTTATTACATCAATAAAAATGCCATATTTCGAAATCTATACAGGCAACTAATGTATGCAATTAACTCTCAGATAGATATAAATTGTGTTTTCCTGTTAGTTGCGTATTTTGATTGAATAATTATGACCATAACTTTTCGAATACGAATGGAATTTAAATATTCGACTAATCAGTGAAGGTCGAATCGGAAGAAGTTACATTCATCCCGATAAAACCACCCTTTCTTGATCCTTCAATGAGCGTGCGCACATTTTGAGACGATTTTCGCCACCCCTGATTCCAAAAGAGACACTTTTTATCGCACTCATGGCAGCCCCAAGGAAAAGACTTGTCTCAATCAAGAGTTACAGCATTGAGGTAAATTATTTTTAGAATATTCTTTATAGCTTTCTCTTTCAGCACAATAAGTATCTTTATTCATTATTTTACATGTCGTAAAATTAGGTGAAAATTATAATTGTTTATCATCATTATAATTGTTTTCTAATTTCTGTGAAAATGTAATTAATAAAGTCCGGGCTTTTATGACATTTGTATTTTCGGACGATTTTGAGTTTTTAACCCAGTCAGGACAGAAGACTTTTATCGAAAAATATATCGAAAAAAAAAGAGTTGCAACATCGAGGTGAATATTTTTAGAATAATCTTTATATGTTTCTTTTAGCACAATAGGGATCTTTATTCCTTATTTTATGTGTGGTAAAATTGAGGAAAAATCATAATATTTTATTGTTTTTATAACGGTATACCATTCACTGTAAAAAAAGGGATTTTCAAAATGGAGCGAAAAGGTTTTAAAATAGCACCGAAACAAATAATAGACGATTTTAAATGCCCCAGGAATTCAAAGCTGAAACAGCACATGCTCATTTTTGAGAAAAATGCTTAGTCTTAATGGTGATGTCGAGAGAAAGAGACCGATGTTCGTTGGCCGACGATAGGATTCGAACCAGGGTCCTCTTGCATGGTAGTAGGATGCTCTAACCACCATAGTCACAAGCCCAAGTGCAAGCAAATTTGGAAGCCTTATGCAATGCCAAGCGCATTGACATATCATGACATACTAGTTTCCCGTTTCAATGGTACAAAGGGTTGCAATTTGAAAAATATGATCCCAATATCTAAGTCAGGAGATCTTTTATTTTAATTTCACTTTTTGCTTATTTTGCTATCTTTTAAAATCGTTTTAACGAATGGAATTTATGTCAAGATGTGTCATTTTTCAGCAACTATGTAAAGCTTCCTAACTCATCCTGAACTTGGGTGTACAATTATGGTCTTTAGAGCATTCTACAACCCGAAGACTTTTGCTTCGAATCCAACCAGCTGCCAAGAAACTTTTCTCCCCAATATTTCTTTTTCTAAATCGCTTTCAGACAATGCATTTTTCTCAAATATGGGTATATACTAATTCAATTTTTTATATATGAATTTTTCAAACTTCCTTATTATTTTTGGTAGATATCCTGACATAGTTTTGCTCAATTTTAAAAAAAAAACTCTTTTGCGATGTCATTGTTAATGCAATTCCTAGTCTCAGGGTAAGTTTAACTTGAAAAAAAAATGTAGTTGAATATATATANCCTTTATATATATATATATATATATATATTGAAAGAAATTATCACGATTAGATTTTTATAAGTTTATATAGTCAAAAATAGGTCTGGCAGTTCTTATCCCAACACCTCTGTAAAGACTAACGGCATGTTTTAGATTTCTTAAAGCATTTTCTAAGACTTTGGGAACTTTTACTTTCATTTTAGGGCAGTTTATGTGATTTATCACTGATTATTTTTAATTTCCGATTATTTTTTTTATTTTATTAGAAGCACTATCTTGTTTTCACAAATTTCCTACATTATTACCAATTTTCTCAAATTTTCAATTTCTTTTAATTTTGCTTAACCTTGTAAATCCTTTTCCTACTCATTTGATAATGATTGATAGTAAATGATGTATTTCTATTTCATTTCAAATCAAATGAACTTTATTAAACTTTATCAAAAAACCTTTTCTTAAATTCTCTTAATATGCATGTTTTAATACAATTATATGTCAAATGAAATTTAGGAAAGAAATAATATTTCAAATTAAAATTATTGTTTAATCATAAGAAATTATTAAGGGCATTTTTTACTATTTTTAAACTCAATTTTGAGGATTTTTTAATTCACCAAAATCATAACTCCAGTAATTAAGAATGGTTATTTTGAAATTTTATAAGTCATTCATCGTTCAGTATAACACGTAGAGATTTTGGGCAAAGTCGGAACTATTATAATCACTGAGAAAAAAACAGCACATTTTTGTTTTAAAAAAGCAGTTGGCAACTAAACTCACTTAGTTGAGAACAAGAGAAAAATATCATTTTCTTAATAGAGTAATTTTTATGAAACATAGAATTTACTTTAATGGGCTTATTTGATTATTACTAATTTTATACTATAATATTCAAAGGCGTAGAAAATACCGGGCATGTATATTCTACCCAATAGTTCTTTACTTAAAAAAAACATCAGTGTAAGTAATACTACACTACAAAAATTTTCATGTATCAAAATAGTGTAATAAAAAATAGTGGCAACTATTTTATATTAAAGTGATGTTCCACTACACCAGGAATGTTCTATTTCACTATGTGGTGTAAGGTATCCACCATTTTTTTTTTTTGCATTGAATAACAAAAGTAAATTAGTAATCATAGTGAGATAAGATACACATTAGAGTGAGTAAAATCATCATTACGATATAATAAAAAATAAAATCTTTAATTTAGAATTATGCATATACTATTTTTCAAAATAAAATTAGTTTGTAAATCAAATATACGAGTATCACAAAGAGAACATAAAGACGAACTCGAAATAAGGCTTAACAGAAGGGAAGCTCATAGTAATTATTCATGGTAAAATCACTAAATAATAATCACTGTTCACACAGATTTAAAAAAATCAAATATAGTTATCCTTTTTGCACACTTGGAGAGATACATACCTGTTTTGATGACGAGCAAACAAATTATTCAATCAAATCGAAGAAAATCACTAACAACAAAGTCTCGCTGACTAATTCTCAATTACGAACGTTAACTTCTTAGGAAAAAAAACCTGCGCCAACATATCGGTTTGAGCAAAATAATTCTCGTTTGATATGAACGAGCAAGAATGTGGTGTAGGCTAATTCGAGATCATATAAGTGTTTAGATTTAAATTACACCATTTGAATTATATATGAAAACACTCGGTTCGGGCTTAGCTAGGAATAAAGTGTTCTTTCTCTCAAATTTTTGAGTTGCTCACCATCATGATCGGAGAGACAAGAGTATACCAGACAATGGACTACACATTCCTGCAGAATTATTATCTTGGTTATTCCAAATATTATAAATTTAATCTAAGAAAAATCAGCTGTATATTTATGTAACTTGATATGATAGTAAAGTTTAGGTTTTAGTAAAGTTTAAAAATTAGTATTGATATAGAAATGGAAATGGCTAAAAATAAAGGCCTTTCATATAAAATAAAAACCTGAGAAAGAACTTTTAAAATTTCTTATTGAAATTCAAAAATTACCACAAATTAAAATCAGGAAATAAATGTATAAATTATTTCTTAAGATTATCAACATGAATGAGTAGCTTTAGGGTTTTTTGACGACTTTCAATGAAATATTGGAGCAATTATCTATTCAAATTCCATTCAGTCATTTTTAATTTTATGATCTATATGATCTGTACCTATTTATGCAATCAATTTAAAAACCGAATTTTAGAAGCAAGTTTTTCCACCATTTGCATCGATGACAGCTAGCATCTGAATACTTCACACCAGTTTTTGATGAGTGGCCATAGAGATGGTCGTCCATGCGTCCATCGCAGCTGAAATTAATGCTGGAAGTCAGGATAATGATATCTGTCCAATACATTATTTGGCCAGACCTATCCGAAACTCAAGCGGTACGATTTCAAGAGTCCTGAGGCCAATTTTAGAAGGAAGTTTTTCCACCATTTGCATCGATGACACCTAGCATCTGAATACTTCACACCAGTTTTTGACAAGGGGCCATAGGGATGATCTTCCATGCGTCCGTCACAGCTGAAATGAATGCTGGAAGTCAGGATAATGATATCTGTCCAACACATTATTTGGCTAGAAGTATCCGAAACTCGAGCGGTACTATTTCGAAGAGTCCTGAGGCCAATTTTGGAAGGAAGTTTTTCCACCATTTGCATTGATGACACCTAGCATCTGAATACCTCACACCAGTTTTTGATAAGGGGCCATAGAGATGGTCTTCCATGCGTCAATCACAGCTGAAATTAATGCTGGAAGTCAGGATAATACTATCTAGCCAATACATTATTTGGCCAGAAGTATCCGAAAACCGATCGGTACTATTTCGAAGAGTTCAAAAATTGGCCTTACTATTCAAAAATTGGCCTCAGAAGAGGCCAATTTTTGAAGGAAGTTTTCCCACCATTTGCATCGATGAGATCTAGCATCTGAAAACTTCACACCAGTTTTTGATAAGTGGCCATAGGGATTGACTTCCAGGCGTCCATCACAGCTGAAGTAATTGCTGGTACAGGGAAGATTGTCCAAATGTTTGACAATGTAATCTGCTTTAATTCGTTTCAAATGTATATCACAGAATTAAAGATGAGACTCTGAAAATGCCAGTCCAGTTTTTTTAACCCTAATTTAAACCGTGTGTGCGTCATCGAACCATGTCTCGATGTTTGAATGAACTAGTTATGATGCTAGAAGGAAAACGAGTTTTACCTCCAAAATACTGCCAAGTAGTTGCGAAAACAGCGTTTTCCAGAAAACACGCATGCATATCATAGTTCATATTTCCAACCACTGGAGATAAAGGATCTAGGTCGAGCCATGAAATACAGCCTGCACCATGATGCTTTAGTGGCTGTCCGGATGCATTTGGCCAGATGTATTCAGCAATTTTAACATAGTGGCAAGTGAAACAATGTTTTCGCGTCAACTTAAACCAAAATGTTTTGTATTTGAAGTAAAGAAGGACTTATTTTTCACAGCAATAATTTTCAACTTGAAACCTGCTAGATTTATTATGATTGCAACAAGTTTGTGATGTGTTATGGTAGAAAAAGCTCCTCAGATTTTAATCGTGCAGTAAATAATTGTACATTTTTGCCATTTTCTAAGATTTTTAATTGCGAAGAATAAGTAACTGTTACCAAAATAGAACAAAATAATTAAAATTTAAAGTATTTTATTTACGAATTTGTTTGGCTCAGACTGCTGAAAGTTAAGTCTCATAGATTAAAAAAAGAAACAAAGCTTTTAAATTGATGAAAATCAATTTTAGACATTTTTTTT